GCCCTTTGAGTCCTCTATAATAACGGCCCGACTATATGTCCGGAAGTGTATACCAGCCGACTCTTGTCCTGATTTTGCATAACCCATCTATAGTTACATCATATTTGCAATTAATTAGAAAACATATCAACTAATGTTAATCTATACATAATTAGTTATATTAATAGTTAAATATGTATAACTACCAAGTTAATCTCAGCGGCGGGTCCGGTCGTGTCGGCAATGCCCACACCTATCCGATACACGTCCCCAACGCATTGCACTTTAATTACAAAATAAATAATTAAAATAATCAATTTTAAATTTAACAGTTTGTAATAATTCATGGCATAGTGTTTATGGCATTCTTTGGTGTAATTTAAAAATATTTTATAACTATTTTAAAGTAAATTTTTTCATGTGTTTGCAAAACATACTACAAATACTGATTTCATTTATAACTATTATGTCTTATTATTGAAATACTAGGAAATCATATTTAGTTTAGATCAGCTGTCGGTTAAAAAACAAAAATCAATTCAGATTTTATAAAATTGTAACAACTTTTCCAGTATTTACTTTTAAACAGTTGTAATTTGTATTTCGCTAAAAACACGAGTATTTTAGCATTCATTGCAATATGTTTGCGTTTATTAATTAAATGTTGTTTTAATTATAGTTTAATTAAACATAGAGTATATAACTTGTGTCAGTAATGGAATTATTTTCTATAAAATTAAAAACAATAATAATATTATGAAATAACTCTAGCTACTAATGAATAAATAAACCATGATAAACCTTATTACTTAATAGTTATAAGGGGTAAAAATGTTATCATGGAAAAATAATTTCATAAAATTTCCATTTTACAAAATTCAGAAAAATTAAATACAGTAATTACTAATTAGTGATGCAATCATTTCTATTGTTACAATGACAATTATTACATTTTGAACAATATTAAAATCTGCTATAAATTAGACAATAATGAGTTAAATGTAAAATTATTTATTTATAACACTATTAAAAAATATATTACAAATGACAAACTAAATTCTAAACATTTTAAAATCAAAAATGTAATTTATTAAATAATACATTTATTGATAACATTATAAAAGAAACTCAAAAATAGCTTTTAATAACTGCTGTCTTAAGTGCGAGAAAGTCTGGTCTCATGTCGTCGATAGCCTTCTGGTCGAAGCCATGAGTGCAGTAGAAGTATAGGCGCTGTAAGTGTGGGCATCGGGTGAGCGGTCGGATCGCGTCCACACCCGACACACGAATTTCTATTAAATATAACTCTTGAAGTTTTGGCAAATGTTTGTCAATATCGGTGAAGAAGGAGTTTATGATCACATTTCTTGCGTAGTGTCGTATAATCTGAGGCACCGATAGGTGTGTTAAGTGACGGCATTTGTCAAACATTTTAGCATCGATTACAAAGTCGGGGAAGAAAAAGCCGGTGATTGAAAAGCGCCGCAATTGATGCCCAAAGTGGTCATTGATTGGTCCGATAATACTCTTCGAGGGATTAATATAACTTTCATCAAACAAAAAGGTTAATCCGTTAAGTCGTCGATAGTTTGGCACCAATTTTATTAATTTATTTAAAACTTCAATGACAAGCGAGTCTTCAGTGGATTCAAAATTTAATGTCAAATCACGTAAAGTTGTAATCCGTGATAAAGTGGTCACAAATCTATTTACCAATTCTATAGATATCTTATTTTCTTTCACAATGTGTTCGCTTTCGTCTTCATAATTAATATTATGTCCAATTATTTTTACATTTAATGATTTGAGACTACTATTTCTGTAGTGATCAACAAATTGATCCAAACATTTGGCATCTTCTCTGTTGTATTCAAAACAAAAAAATCTTAATTTGGGAAAAATTACCTCATTTTTGTGATCAAACAGTTCTGTTAGTTTATTAAAGTGCATATAATCTCTATAATTGGTGATAGTCTTGACGTTAAACTCGATAGCATTGACACATTTTGTCAAATTTTGCTCAAAATGTTTTAATTTTGAACTTTCCTCTTCTATTCCTTTCGTAATTATCTTCAATTGTTTGGCAAACTTTTCAAAAAACTTGTAGAGTGTATCTCTGGTGATGTTATGGCAATAAAACGCTTGTATATTATTTAATTGTTTACAATATTTGATAATTTCTGCAACCAATTCATTAACAATCAATAACTCTTTAAAAATAACAATTGTAATTGAGTTAATATTTAAGCACTTTTTTAATAATAATTGAAATTTAGGCAAATCAACCTTGGTTAAAAATTTCTTGTCAAGAAATAAATTGTATTGTGTAATGTATATTAATCGCTGCCATTGTTTAGACACAGACTCATATATAAATCTGTCTTTAAAAGAAAGATAACTTAATAAGACTTCACACAAATCATCGCCAAACCTCTCAAAAGAGTTTTTTTCAAACATTTTTCACAGAATTTATTCTTTTGTAATGCAATATTTAACTAAAATTTCACTTTATAGTTAAACATTGGATTATTGTTGTATTTAATTATTCACTAATAATGAATAGTTATGCACTTATTAATTACAATCTACTTATAAATATACAACATTAGTAATGTTACATTACAATAAAACACCTTTAATGTTTACAATACAATTTATCAGTATAATTACTATGTTAATTATCTATTATTTATAATTTATAAACTCTATATAACTTTACAAACTCTATATATTATATAATACTGTACAGCACAATAACAAATAACACGTATGACTAATAATTTTATGATGATTATTAAATAAAATTAATTATTAAAACTTTTAAACATATTAAACATTGTAATAATCAATTATAAACAATTATATAAATTACAATAAGTATGTAATTATAACTTTACATACTCTTAATTTTAAATAATTTTAAATACAGTAAATACGAGTTTATATTTTATGCCAAGATTAATAGTTTTAATTCATTAAAATTCATTTGAATTGATAACAAATATAAATTACTTAAAAATAATTTTTAATAATTGCTGTCTTAATTTGAATTTATTTAATCTTTTTTAAATAGATATTTTTAATTATGTGAAAAATATAATCAGCATACTAATGTAAAATGATGGTGATTTATAAATTCGGGGAATTTTTTTGTTGTTTTAAATATTTTTAATTTATTAATAGGGAAACCAGTCATGTTTTTCATATATATTGCAGTATGAGTCAATTGTGTATTTTCATTACAAATACAACACTCATAAGCAAATAGACATATTAATAACCATCCAGTTACTCTATAATATATATAAAGTTGCTGGAAAGTTGCTGGAACGCGGTTTGCTTATTTATTAAATATTCCAAATTCTTGATATATTCTGTTAATATTTTAATTAAAGCATTAATTCTAAAATTGTATAGTACAAAATAATTAACGATAACTAAAAGATTCTGAATAGTATTTGAATAGTTAATTGGGTTTAAATTGCAGAAATTAGTAAATTACAGAAAATAAATAAGGTGATATATTTAGCAGCATATGCAATATAAAGATGTTCCATTTAGATGTTCCATTATGTACTATAAAGATGTTAAAATATAGAGTGATTGAAAAATTAGCCCTAAACATTCCCAAAGTTTCACCATTATGTATAATACATTATTTATAAGTACAGTACTATAAAAATATAATATATTTTCATTATAAATCTATACTTATTTTGTTATATTATAATATAATTGGACTTAAATATAAATTCAAATAAGAGATTATAATGAGCATTTAACTTTATGCACATTACAAATAATTGCTTTTTATTTAATTATAATTTACTAAATGATTGCATTAATTGGTCTAAAATTCTTGAAAATATCTCTATTACCTTCAGTTATAAACAATTCAATGGAAAAGACATTAATATAATGTCCAAAATTTATAATCACTAATACATTAACAATATATTTGTTTTAAAAATTAAAGCTAAATATATTTTCTTAATATAAATCAAATCGTAAAAACTTTAATATTGTCGTACACTATACACGACTACTGAACATTTCACTAGTAGTTCAGTATAAGTAATGATAATATTTAGTATAACAACTAAAATACACTATAAATTTACTCTCAAAAACAAATACAATATTAAAATTAAGTATCGGTTATCACGAAATCAGACAAATTTTTCTTCACATTATCTATGGATTTATAGCTTTAAAAGTGTACTAATATTTTGAATTCATTCCAGAAAATCAATACAAAGCATAACTTACAGAATATTCTGTAATTCTGTGTAATTCTTAATCTTAATGAATATTTTTACCTTGAATTTGAAATAATTTTCAATGTCTTGGGAGATATAGTGTTGTGTTGTTGAGTATAAAACCAATGCCTCTGTTGTCTGTTTGCGTGAATATCAAGTGAATTATCATGTTTTGCAAGTTATGCTAATTCACACTATATTTTAATCATAACTTTATACAATATTAAACATAGTGTTATATAAAGTTTACAGTATATATTTTATACGACAAATATTATAATATTTATTATAAACATATATTAATTCTATTGAATAAAACATTTTGGTAAATATGGTATTAATTAATTCGGAGACTCATCAGGCGATGGTTACCCGACAGCGGATCAAAACCAACGCCAAAAGGGGTGGTTTGTTGGCCGGTATCGGCGGTCTCATTGTGATTGGCTTTCCAATGCTGGTCAGCACAGGTATGAACAGTCCGGTGGGCTTTCAAATCAAAGAAGGTAACGTTATAACGAGCGCCTGGCTTGACGTTCCCCTTCCCATATATAACGCTATTTATGTCTGGAATATTGAAAATCCGGCTGAGTTTAGACGCGGGGCCAAAGCCAAGCTCAGAGAAATGGGTCCTTATGTTTATAAGTAAGTTATGTAAAATAACTTTAATATAAAGTTTGTTTAATTTGTTACTAGTTACTCATTTCGTCAATAGTATATGATAAATAATAGTACTTTAGATTTTATTTTATAGAATAATGGTATTAGTAATATAAAGTTTATAACAATAGTAGATGTTATATAACAAGTTTGTATTGATAACATTTTGCATGTATTGCAAATGCAGTTTATTCTTGCATTTAAAATTGAGAATTATAAATTATAAGTTCAAGTTGAATAATATTTACACAAAATTTATAACTTCTGTTATTTATTTTTTAAAATACACACAGACTTTGATAGTGTTAACACAAAAACGTGTATTAATATAACAATGTATTTATAGGCAGCACCGGTGGAAAGAGGTTATCTCGTGGGGCCGTAACCAGGAGTCGGTCAAGTTTTGGGCCCTCTCTTCCTGGGAGTTCAACGAAGAGCGCACTGTTGGCACCCAGAAGGACAAAATCACCATGATCAATCTACCTGTCTATGTATTTAAATCACTGTTTATAGCGTACATCGAATATAATCATAATCTAAACTTGTAGGCAATGGCGGCTGTGGTGAGAGGTCTGGTGGAGAAACTACCATTGTCGTTTGCCATCGCACCGGTAGCCTTTGGCGCTGTAAACGTACTGTTTATGACACACGGAGAGGGACTCTTGAAAGAGATGACTGTCGCCGATCTCGTGGAGGGCTATCCCTTCCGCATATTGGATACCATCGATGTGTTGACAAAGCCGTTGACGTGGTTTGGCATTAAACTGCCCGACACTGGAATGCCTCAGAATAAGTTTGGTTTATTACACGTCAAGAATTTCACCAAGGGTGGTCCCTATGAGGTTTATACCGGGCAACAGGGCACCAAGTTTCTTAAATTCATCTCGTACCAAGACAAAAGGTTAGAATGTTGCATCATTTAATTATATTATTTTTAATTATTTGCAATATCCATAACTTATATTAAACTCTCTCTCTCTCTCTCTCTCTCTCTCTCTCT